TTTTTTTAAATATGACACCAACTAGAGAGAAGCAACCAGGATAAAAGCAAAGAAGAAAACCACCTCCCAGCCCTACCACTCACACTCACCAATATACAAACACATTTGGTAACTGCATCACCTAAGCACCCAGCCAAAGAGGTTCCAACTTAACAATGAGATGCTTTTTCTAAGTCTGCATTGTTCCTGCTGCTGGGAAATGAGGCAAGTTCTCCTCTGCAGTTTGGAGATGTCGAAAGGCTTTTTAGACCCACTCCAGGTGCCCCCGTCACAGGACCGGCTATAAGATATGCAGAATACTGAAAGAACCGGACTTTAAGAGCTGGAAGAGACCTTGGAGGTCCCTGTTTTAAAGATGAGTAATAAGTGATTTGCCTCCTCCGCAGCTATATTGTAAACACCCACCTGGGAGCTTGTGGTTTACCCAGTGGGACCTCAAAGAGAAAACAGAGAAGCAAGGCGTACAGGTGGCTCAGCATGTGTCTCCAGTGGAGAGGGATGGGGACCCTAGTCCCTTACCAATGAAATGGATTTTCAGAGAAACAATATCGCTGGAAAGTCAATGAGCCTGAGGGGCTGGTGGGTACATCCCAGCTTACAAGCCATTGTCCTTGTGGCCTGAAGGTTGGGCCTAAGTGTCTCCTAACAAACACAATACATAGAGTTGCCACTTAAGCATTTCGGAACATTTTAGTTAACCTTTGGTGAGATTTCTGAGCTTTTCCCATGAAGGGAATTAGAATTGCAAGAGCTGCCCAGGGGCACAGGGTGAGGGGGTGTAGTGCTGACGAAATGCTAGGGGCTTGACTGGCAGGGAACCGGACTTTCTCCTTCCCAGGACTCCTGGTTTTCATTGCCTAGTGTCCAGGTTGGCAATGATTGAAGCCCAGTGAAGTTTAAAAGGTTAATATAGGCACCCATGAAAGCTGTGCTCTTAATCTACAACCGATTAAGCCAAAGACGTGCATTTAAATCACTCAGATAGCAACAAGTTACATTCTTATAGCACTTTCTGTATGTCAAGAACTATTCATTCACTTAATCCACACTAAAAACCCCATGAGGTAAGTACTAGTATTGCCTCCACTTTTAAGGGATGTATTAGTTATCTTTTGCTGTATAATAAACATATTAATATGCTTACATCGATAACATGTTTAGATGATACTATTTTGGCCATATTGGGGGGGGGGAAGTAGTGGTTCTCAGTAACAAAAGTATGTACCATCTCACACATCTCCCTGTTACTTTACCTTGTTAAAAGGATTTTAAATTCTGATTCTTTCACTCAATATGCTTACTGTTCTCCCTTAAAGATTTAGCTACAAGGAATAAATGTCGAAGTATCCAAAGTCTAATGTAGTTTCTGATCATCCCAGGTAGTACTTGATAGCAGGTGGAGAAACGTGAGAGCTCGTTAGAGTGGTAGGTAAAAGAATTTTTTCCTATACAATTTTAACAACGGCTTTGGAATATTTGAAAGCCATTAAGCAATTCAGGTTATCATTCTTCTCCACATAATTTTGCATTTATGTAGCAATCTATTCCTTACCCACAAAATTTAGCAGGCTGGCAAGGTTGCTAGAAGGAGTCAGAGAGAAAAAAAAAAAAATTACCAAATCCATTGATAACAACATGGTGATAACATTCTGTTTGTTTGTTTTTTGTTTGTTTTTATTTCAAAGGTGTCCTTGAATGGCCATTTTGGACAAAACTGGTTGTGGTGGCCATCGGCTTCACGGGAGGCCTGGTCTTCATGTACGTACAGTGTAAAGCCTACGTCCAGCTGTGGCGCAGGTTGAAGGCCTACAACCGGGTGATCTTTGTGCAGAACTGCCCAGACACTGCCAAAAAACAGGAGAAGAGCTTCTCGTGCAACATCAACACGGACACCAAGGACGCGGTGGTAGTGCCGGTGTTACCTGCGGGTACAAATTCGCTGCTGCCCGCAGAGGACAGCCCTCCGGAAGGGATACCCGTGTGACGGGGGCAGCCCGGTGGGGGAGTCTCTTCCCCGGAGAACATCTTTCCAGCCCTCGGCCACTGCAAATGACAGAAGCGATCCCGAGTTACTCTCTTTGTCTCCTCCCCTTTCTCCTGCTGACTCATCTTCCCTTACTTGGCACAAAAAGGAAGGAGGAAAAGGCGGCGACCGACCAGGATCCGGTGAAGCAGAGTCTGCGGTGGGACAGGGACATGTGAAGAGTGAGCTGAAGAGTTCATTTCTGAAACCGCCAGAGCCACCTGAGCAAGGAAGACTTTTAGGCAAACATTCCTCATCAGACGACAGGGACACAGGATCTTCATGGTAGCAGGGGAGGGGTTAAGCATACAGACTTCAGCTGAAATGTGTGTTTCATCTAAGGCCTGGAAATGTTAACCGTCTCGCCTGGAAATGACAGTGGGTTTTAGGCTTGGAACTGTCCGCATTAGGCCTCAGGCACATCAGAAGCAGACTCGGGGGGCGCATCTTTGATCCTCTCACCTCGACAGAGAGCAGAATTCTATACGGCTAGAGTGCAGTCCAGTTGTTTTGACAGATGGTGTTTTTAAAACAGGTGCAGTAAGCATTATTGAAGATAGTAATACTTGGAATTATATTTAAATCATGAACAAAAGATTTTCAGAGATTTCTGGAGGGGGGAGGTGTTATTTGGCTGTTAAATACCCACGGAAGTTGAAATTAACTATCATATTTAATCTGCACCCTCTAAAACAGTGAAGTCTAACGGAAATATAATGTGAGCTACTAATGCAGGCCACATATGTAAATTTAAAATTTTTCTAGGAGCCCCATTGGAAAATTTTAAAATAAATAGGTGAAATTAATTTTGATAAATGTATTTTATTTAACACTATATATTCAAGTTATTGCAACATATTATTAATATTAAAAATTACTGACCCTGGCTGGGTAGCTCAGTTGATTAGAGCATCGTCCCAATATGACAAGGCTGTGGGTTTGAAACCCGGTCGAGGCACATACAAGAATCAATCAGTGAATGCATAAATAATAAGTCGAACAGCAAATCGATGTTTCTCTCTCTCAAATCAATAAAAAAATTACTGAGATTGTTTACATCTTCTTTTACAAACCAAGTCTTCAAAATGTAGTATGTGTTTTATCCTTATAGCATATCTCAATTCGAATTAACCATATTGGCTAGCACAGCCCTAAAATTGGAGACGAAGCCTCTGATTCATTCAAAGTTTAAACATTTCAAAACAGCTTAATTCATTCTTTTACTCAAAGTCTCACAAACGTGTTAATTTTCCAAAGCATGAAATTAATCAAGTATCCTGGTTGAAAAGTTAAATGAAGTCACTAAAGAGTGAAAAAATAAAAGTATAGAAAGATTAAAGCAATCTGCCTGTGGCAATGTTCTGGAAGTAACTTGCTCGCTATGATGAAGCACTCATGATAGGGAAAATAAAAACTAAATATTTTAAGTCAAACGTGTAGGGCTTTAAAAAAAAATCCATATGAGGTGTCAACTAGGCAGATAAATAGTTAAGAATTTAAGATTCTGTTTTTAAAAGCTGGCAGTATTCCCCTTGCTCAGCTGGGACACAAAAATATTGGACGGATTCTGTGATAAGTAATAAATTGAGCTGTTTAGGTTTGACAGTTCAGTTGATTGTTGTGTTCTTTGCATATTCATGTAAAACTGAAGCGTGAATGATGCTGCAGTGAGCTAGATTAATGACTGTAGATATAGCGGCCTGTCAAGGAAAGATGTCTTACATTTTAAAGAGGTGATTTATTTTTGTTAGCTGTCATATTTATTATTGTGAAAAGGCGACCGTGATGGCTATGAGAACCAAAGCATGGGTACTGCATTGCACAGATCGGGGGATCGCATTGATGCACTTTGTAATGATCCATGGGCTTGCTCTTCGCAGATTATCATAGGAAAAGGGAAAGAGAAATAACCTTTTAATGAGAAAGACTATATGAATATTAGTAGTGGCTGACACCGAGGCCAAATAGCCCTGCTTCCTAGAATTAAAGGGAAACGATGTCCACTGTGTGCGTGTGTGTGTGTGTGTTCATGTATATACACGAGAAAAATGTTCTGGGTCAGGCAGGAAACATAAGGTTTAAAACTCGTCTTTCTGAAAACTTACTGTAGAGACGTGGAATAAAGGCACAGGGAAAACAAAGTTGAGGTAACTAAACTGGACCAGAATTTCTGTACAAGTAAGGACATGAGCAGTGTCATAAAAAATATGAACCTTAAACAAACTAAACCCCATGCCCCCTCACCCAAGGGGTTAACCCTGATTCAACTGAACTGTTCAATTTCCTAAGCTGCTCACTAACCCATGTTTCCTGTGGTTTAGAGATGGCCACGTGTTGTTTACGAACATTCCTGGGCAGAAAAATCTAGTCACCAGCAAACAAATGATTTCTTTTGTTTGCTCTGGAAGGAAAAGGGTTGTCACCACCAAAAATACTGTTCCCATTCTGTGAAGACCTAAGCAAGATAGTAAGTGCACAGCTCATGTCGCAGTGGTAGGTGACTGGCTAAAAGAAGGCCTCGCGTACCAAGGGCTACCCTCAACACTAAGAAAACATATCTAGGATGGAAAGGAAAGGTAAGCATTACTGTATGGATGAAAAAAGATGACAGGGTATTGTTTTAAAACCAGACCTACATTCTCAAAATTAACTTGTACAGGCTCTTTCTTTGAAAAGAGAAAATATAGCTCCCCAGCAGGTTAAAAGTCGGCATTTTATTCTGCTATTCTTCTGACCTTTTTGAACCCTGAACTCTGGAATTTAAATATTTTTAAAAGGTTTTCTGCAATGGCTGTTTATGGTTCAGTCTAAATTACTGTGTGCACTTGAAACCTAATGTTTTCTTCTTATGTTCTGGGTGGCAATGGTGCATTTTTCCTTTCAGTGGAAGGATTTGGCTTTGTGATGATTGTGTGGACTTGACATACTCTTCAAAAAGAAAACCTGCTCTCCAGGATGACAATTTCTTTGAAGCATGTTTCTTTGCTCATGAAGGAAATAAAATGGAATTGAAACAAAGGACTGAAACTGGAGAATGAGCTTACAGTTCTGTTCAAAACTTCAGCTTTTTAAAATCATGAATCAATACCATACATCGCACACATTTATGCTGTTAAATTTGTTAAAGAACTGCCACTTTTATTGTATAGGATCAAAGATTAAATTGTAATGGATTGAGATTAAAGTATCTTTTTTAAAGTGAAGCCCAAAGGGCTACGAAGCTTAAGTACAAACACAAATGGAACCAAAATGAGAAAAAAAAAAAAAAATCAAACCCCAAATGATCCCATCAACCTGGGATATAGCGATGGAAAATTGAAAGAAAATAGGTATATATGCTGAAGGAGTCTTTTAAAATGCCTCAGGATTCAATCTCACTGAGCTGCTGTGACGTGATTATAGTCCTGGAGAGATGGCCTTATAGTTACATTTATCTTGTTTTGCAAAAGGTCCTTGGGTACCCCTAAAACAGCTACTCTTGAGTTGGAAAATTAGCTCGTTAGAGCAATGACATCATTACCGTCTGGGGATGAGGTGGGGGCAATTATTCCATCTGCCTGACACAGTTTACCTTTCCTTGCCTTGCCGATGGATATTTTGGAACAAAGTGGAGCTCTTAAAACTCATGATCATCATTATTGTAGTTGTTATATAGTAACTGTGTAGGACTCACACTTTAATTAAGAAAGATGAAAACCTTTTTTCTTTCCTTAAATCAGCCCAAAGGTGCTATTTTACATATCGATACAGTTGAAGGGGTGTCCTGTTATTTTGGGCTGAGTGTTTCCTCCACCTCTGAAGAAAGCCCACTTTGAGATTGGATATCGCATTAAAACAAACAAGAAACAATTATTTTAACTGTGTGCAATTTTTGAGATTGAGCATTTGTACTTTTTTGGTTTTACCTAATTCTCTTGCATTAATGACTTACTGTTTTGTGAATAATGTGTAAAGACAAATTAAGGAGAAGAAAATAATTATCTGTGAAAGACAGACTTTGTATATTAAACAAGTGACTCGTACCTTTGTGGTGGTTTCTATAGCTTTTTGATGAACTTACCAGGATTTCTGCTGATTTGTATCTGTAACATCCAAACAGGCTTATTATTCAGATTTTACTCTGGTCTGGGTTTTTAAACAGGGTGTGAATGTATTTATAATTATTCTAAGGCCCACATACACTGCGTAACTCATGACATTGTAGAACAAATAAACAAGCATTAACAAGGGAAAACCAACAGAAATCATCTATATAAACTTTCAAACCCTGTTTTAAAAAAACTTTTAAAAATAGCAATATAATATAAAGAATTTTCTCATGAGTAAAAGGGTTTAGATATACAAAATAATGTTTTTTCTACTCAGATAATAGAAGAGTAGATTTAGATAATTTCATAGATAAATGCTAAGAGAAAAGCTTTGGAATCTATTTCTAATCTAGGAGGTGTAGTGATTAATGAGGAAGATGTTCCTCTCCGAAGCCCCAACTTCTAGGCCAGAATTCAGGGGGAGCAGACCGCCTAGCCCAGGGTGCCTGCAGGACTTTCCATTAGACTGCAAACTGTATGAACACATTCTCGACAAAGTGGATGCCTGAACTTAGTCTTCTCCCATCTCCCAAATTACAACACATACTCCTGCATCACAAATCATTGTTACTGTGTGTTCAGCTACTGACCCTGAAACAGAGAGCTGTGGTTGATACATGGGCAACAAGGGTGTGGGTAGAGATCCTTTAACTCAGGGGGATGACAATGCAGGCGGAGAAAACAGCAAATGCCAAAATCCCCAATGGGAAATGTCTAGCAAGTTTCCGCCAGTAAAAGAAAACAAGCCCTTGTTAGGGTCAGACAGTTCATTACTTAGATAGCAAAAGGAACTCCAGAGCCAGCTGTCCGTGAGTCCCTGCCCCAAGGAGACACAAAAAGGACCAGATGACAGGATAATGGAACAGAAGGTCTGGGCCCCTCACTGAGGTGCAAATTCCTTGTGCAGCTGAGCAACTTTATAGCCTGCAGCCACACCCTGAAGAGATGGCAGGTGGAAAACTCCTCCTTTATCAGAACCCGGGAGGCAGGGACAAACTGGGCCACAGGTCCTCCCTGGAAGATAGGGAGGCAGATGTGAAGTGGCCTGTGGCAGTTTCTCACAAGCATCCCATATCCTGCTCCCCGAAGTTCACACGGTGTCCCTCTAGAGCTCAGGTTAGCTGTGACCCAACCCAGCCCACGTGGACTACGGACACACACACACACACACACACACTCATCCGGGTGCCAGCACGGAGCTGTTCCACTGTGGGAAACAGCTTGGATATTTCAGGAATGGACAGAAGGCCAGTGTGGCTGATACAGTGAGCCAAGGGCTAGGGAAAACAGGCCGAGGTTGGAGACGCGGTCAGGAACCCTCTCAGGCCTCTTCGGCTGTGGTATGGAACATGAATTTCATTCAAAATGTGACGGGTGGCACTGTAGGTTCATCACTTATAACAGGTGTACCACCCTGGTGGGGGATGTCGATACTGGGGGAGGCTACGAATGTGTGAGGGCAGGGGGTGTACAGATCTCTCACCTTTCCCTCAAATTTGATGTGAACCTAAAACTGCTCTATAAAATCTTCTTTAAAAAGTGATTAGAAACAAAATTATATCACATCAAATAAACAAACACACCATTAAAAATGTGATGGAAAGATACTGTAACAACATTGAACAAAGGCGTAGCCTATTACCATGTACATTTTTAAGTGAGCAGCTCTGGAGAACGGACTCAGCAGAGCACTGATGGCTGTGAAGGCGTCAGGAAGCCACTGCACACAGTGCAGCCAACGGCACAGTGCCTCAGGGAGCGTGAAAAGTGGAGATGGCCTGACATGGGGGGATTTGACTTTCTTTTTTGGAAATAGAACCAGAAACACCCACTAATTAAATCAGACTGGGGGAGGGCAGGGAAGAATCAAGGATGATGTATAGGCATTTTTCTGGCTTAAGAGATTAAGTGAAAAACGTGAGGAGAATCAAGGTTCCTGAGAAGGCAACGGGGAGTGGAAACCAGAACACGAGTCACAGTGCTGGCCTGTGAAAGGGGAACAGCTATTACAGTCCATTAAATTGAAAGAAACTAAGTTTTTATTTTCTCAATTAGGTATAAAAAGTTAACAGCTGAACACGGGAAGGTAGTATTAAAGTCGAGCTAGAAAGCATGAAAAAGTAGTAAAATAATTATCTCAAAGCTAGAAAATGAGCTGCTTAGGGAAACCCAGTAAAATTGCTAAGCAGTATTGAGAACCCGCTTGAGGTTTGGAGACTTGAATCAGAAAATGGTCTGACTGATCTTCTCCAGCAAGGCTGAGCTGCTTGGGAGCAGGTATGAATGAGACAGATAACTGAGCCTTATTTGATCTGGGTTTTAAAAGACAAATGCTATGCAGTCAGGGACAGAGGAATTGAGGGCACGTGCGAGGAAGCAACTAGGAACTCTGAGGGAGGGAGAATCTGAAGACAGGAGAGGTGCCGTGTAATGAGAGGCTGAGGTCAAAGTGCAGAACCTCAGCAATGGAGAGGGATGGGGGGCAGAGAGTGGAGAAAGAAATGTTCGAGTTTATAGAAACGTCAGGTGCTGGTAAGGTCCGGGCGGGTGTGACCATCCAGAGGCCTCTGACAGGATAGAGAAAAACAGTGAGAAACGTGGAGGTCACAGTGTTGGATCTGTTATCCACAAGGCTGCTGGAATCACTGAAATTGTTGAAATAGAGAAGAAAACTGAGCCAAGAGCTAAAGTCTTCAGGAATGAGCAGAAGGTTCTTCCGGGAGGTAAGACAATAAGGATAGGGAAACAATAACAGAACTTCGAGGAACTAAAGGAGAAATTACTTGGAGGTGGCAGTAGAGCAAAGAGGACACCTATCCAACCTCCTGCCCCTGAAGTGCAAGGGATATGAGTAGAAAAAGCTTCTATTGGGGGCTAAAGAGTTCTAAAACGTCACCTATGTCGGTAAGGAAAGGAGGTGACTAGGATATTGGGAAAAGAGACCATGGAGGTCAGAGTTACTTGCTCTGAGCTTAGAAATGTATCCTGGCCCATGGCCATGGAAGTTCAGCTCACTGATTTAGACCAGTGGTGGGCAAACTACGGCAAGCAGACCAAATCCAGCCTGCGGCCTATTTGTGAACTAAGAATGGTTTTTACATTTTTAAAGGATGGCGCACACACACACACACGCACACAAGATCATCCAACAGAAAGTGCAGTTAGCCTTCAACACCTAAAAATTTACTATCTGGATCTTACAAAAAATAGTTTGCTAGGCCCTAGTTTACATGGAAATGCAAACAAAGTGAGCTACTCTGATTCTGTCCCATGGCCATGGGCTGCAGAAGCTATCTTACAAAGACAGACTACTGACCTAAAAGGGGTCTAGATAAGAAGGCACGCGTTATTACCTCAGAAAGAACATGTTCCATAGACAACGATTAAGGATATTATTTAAAAGCATTACTCTAAAGGCAAATTACATCTTAGGCAAGAAGTGACATGACAAGCGTGGTCCTAGATGGTAAATTCATTCATTTAACAAATATTTGCCTGTCCTAGTTCCAAGCTTTGTGGCTTATTATATTTTTTACTTTGATAGCATAGGGAAGGAAAACCAGAAACAAATGTTTGAGGGGAAGGATGATATGCCAATTTCACAAGTTACTCATCTAACAGTATGGCTTTTTAAATACCAGACCACACAACACACTTATTCTCTTTACTGTAATTTATGACTCAGTTTTTACAGCTGTTTTGAGACTAAATATAAACTCCCCAATAAGGAACTTTTCCAAAGACTAAAGAGATAGAGACCTTCTTATGTAACCATAAACCCATACTTTTACACAGATTACTAAAGCCAAAGCAAGCCAGCAGCAGTTACATCATCGCAAATGAAATAATTAGAAGCAAAATTATAAAAATAAATTTTATTTTTAATTTTCAAAAGTAAAAATTCCACAACACTTTTAATACAGTGTTAACAAAACTTAGTTGATAACCTAGTTAACCTCATACGGCATTAATGTTTTACTTCCTTTTCCTGAAAATACTCAGATACACCTGCATTGCACCCTTCAGAAGTAGACTAAAGGACACTTGCACACAAGTTCTGTGAAGAACAACATTTCTACTACATCCATGATATTCATGATACTTGAAATACCGAGTTATATATAATAGGTGTTATTTAACTCATCTCTTAGAAGAAAAAATAACATAATTTAAAAAACTGGTTCTCTAATCTTTAGGTCTGTTTCCACAAATAAAACCTATCATTTTTCACAATAAGAAAGCAGAAAATAATACACAAACAAAAAGAGCTAATCTGAAATCATGTATTCCCTTTATCAAAAGATAGCAGATTAAGTGTGGGAGATCAACGTAAGAACAGTCACTGCATTTTTTTCTTACCATTTAACTCTGGCTCAAAGGTAATAAATAAAAATAATGTACAATCCATCAGTATATATGAATTCCATATCACATTTTCCCTACTTTATATGGAAAGCAAATAGGTTTAATGTTTAAGAGGAAGGTTGGTGAAATATTATTACTGAGAGGCAATTTTGCTATCATCACTGCTCAAGAAGTACCCACAGGACCCTTTTAGACAACAGGCTGCTGTCCATGTCCCAGAATGTGGTCTTTGGTGATCCCAGGAACCTTAGGTAATCCCAGGACCCTTAGGTGACCCCAGGACCTTAGGTGATCCCAAGTAAACACGAGGAAAAGAACTGAGACGATTTCTGTCCTTATTCATATTGCTCCTTCCCATCCAGATAGTTAGATAAAATCAATCTTAAAGATCACTGTTTTATTTTATTTCGCTGCATCTATTTTAGGAACTTAAATGTAAATAAAAAGCAACATTCATTTTTAAATAAAATCGTAACATTGTTTTTTAAACTGCAAATGAGATTCTCATCATGTAAGAGGAGCTAAGTAGCAAATTCTTGTATCTAGACAATTATTTACCATAATCCATTCAAGTGTAACTTGAGGCTTTCAAATAACTTATTTTCAACTCAAGTAAAGGACAACTGGGCCACTGCAGTCATTTCCTCATCTGAGTCACTTGAGTCATCATTTAGTTGTAACTCCCCTAAATCTGTGTCCACAGGTGTAACGGTTTTCTTCTTGCGCTTCTTGGGCATTGCATCATTAGCACACATTTTTCTCATTTTAATGTTTGGCAATTTCTTCAGATCAAAATCCCATTCCCTACACAAAAGAAAGAGTATAGAGATTTGGTAGGGTATGAGGTGGGGAAGCAGGAAAAAGTCGATATTCAAAATTCTGAAAGTAGCAGAAAAAAATTTATAAATTTACAGCAGATTCAAAAGCACTAGAAAGAAACAATATAAATGCACTAGAGAGAATCCCACATATTTGAAACTCCCAAAGCAATACAGGAAAATGTGACACAGAAGTTACAAGGAGACTGTTCCGTTCTTTTACCCTCCCTAACCTGAACACTTCTGTCAATCGGGCTCCATGGTATTAAGAATCTCACAAGTAGGAACTGTATTTTACCTGGCAACTCTCCAAAATGCACAGTCAGAGAAGTTTTTCTTTTTACATACAGTGGTAAGCCATAGGTAAGTTTCAGTAATCAAACAGCTTTTATGTTTATACTAGAAAACTGAATTTTCAACCTCAGCATTTACTGTGACAACCCTATGTTCATTTACTTGAGGGGCACTGGAAAAGGTTGTTTTGAAAACTGAACTCCAACAACACTAGTAATTAGTCTATGCTAAATTCTTCTCTTTTCTAGTTTTCCTTGGGAGAGGCAGGACATACTTGCTTTAGAAACAGAACACTTATACATCTAATTAATTAATATTGCAGGCAAAAAAATTAAAGGTACTTCTTAAATATGATCAGTGAATTTTATTAGAGCCAATATTTTATAAGTATTAAATACTAAGTATTTTTCTGTGAATTCGTAAGTATAAAAATATAAAATGAGCTTAAAGATATCAGAGAATATGACTGGACTTAATTTATGTAATTTCAATTAACATAAAATTTCAGACCCATCAACATGGCCTAGTTAAGATCAGAATGGTTAACAAAAATCACTTTTTAAAGACAAAGAAGCCATGCTTGAAAAAACTGAAATCCTACTCAGTGGTCTCACTGGTCACAGTGCTGTTAGAGAGACCAGTGGACCACCTGGCTCGGGATCACTCGGCCCCTCCCCCGTATCACTTTCCATTAACCAACTTCTCCAACAGAGGGTGCTGCACACAGTCCGGGATGTGACTCTGAGCCATCAAATCTGTTGCTGTTATTTCTTCTTTTTAAAAAATAAGAATTTGGGAGGAATAGTGAGATCAGGTTCTTTTAAGTACTACAGTAAAGTATTTTAAAATATTTTGAAAAGGAAATAAAAGCCTCATGTCACTATCATTTCAGTGTATAGCTGGTGTTTCAAATAAACACAACTTAGAAAAATTCTACTGTCTCTGATGAAAGAGAAAAGGTTAAAAAAAAAAACAAACCCTGATTTTCTGTCAACTCTAATGTCTGGATTCAAAAGAGAAGAAATTTTATGTCTCATGTATTTTAAATGCTTTTTCAAGGAACAATAAAAGTGACACTCACCTAAAAGTTTTCAGATTGCCTGCATTTATAATATCTGGAATCTCTGGGAAAGAAAATAATTTATATCCATTAGGCAATGTTTTCTAAATTACAACATTTTATGGTTTCCTCATTTATTATCTCAGATGCAACAAATAATAATTGACAGACAGCAAGAACATCCAAAGCAAAACAAAATTTCAAAGCTGTTATACTATATTGAAAGTAAGTTTTGCAAAAGTAAAAGGTTTAGTTTAAAAAGGTGATTTAAGAACACTATTACATAATAAATTCTAGCATAGAATCTATAAAAGAAAAACCAACAGTTGTGCCCCTTTATCTGCAATTTCACTTTTCGAAGTTTTAGTCACCCAAGGTTAATGACAATTCAAAATTATTAAATGGAAAATTAAATCCCCCCTTATAAAGTCCCCCCGTGTCCCTCCTGGGACATGAACCATCCCTTTGTTCAGTGTATAACCTGCCTGCCTGTTGGTCACTTAGTCTCAGTTATCAGATCTACTGTTGTGGTATCGCAGTGCTTGTGTTCAAGTAACCCTTATTTTACTTAATAATGGCCCCAAAGTGCAAGTAGTGATGCTGACAATTTGGAAAAGCCAAATTGGGCTTCCTTTAAATGAAAAGGTGAGTACAATATTCCTAGCAGATCATACTGCCAGACCATCTGATTTTTTAAGACAAGCCGGAAATCTACATTTTTCATATGAAATCACCAGATTTTTTTATACTCACAATTAATAAGCCAGTCAAATATGATTTGTAGGCCATATACATGTAGGCTTTGGGTTGTCCCCTATCTGTGGGCTTTGCAAGCCTCAAGTACATTCTTTTAAGTGCCTTTCTTCAGACAGTGTTGGTAAACTAATAACATACTTGTCTGTAGGAATGGTAAGAAGTGCTACAATGGCCCGGCTGGGCGTGGCTCAGCGGTTGAGCGTTGACCTGGGATCCAGGCGATCGGGCTTCGATTCCCGGTCAGGGCACATGCCCGAGTTGTGGGCTCGATCAATGACTCTCTCATCATTGATGTTTCTGTCTCTCTCTCTCCCTCTCCTTTCCTCTCTCTGAAATCAATAAAGATATATTAAAAAAAAAGAAAAAAAAAGAAGTGCTACAATGCTGAGAATGAATATTTCATTTCTATAGTTTCTCAATAATGAATACATGTATAGCTTTGGTCTACAAGAATTACAAAGACAAGGACCCAGTACCAATGTAGATGAAGATGGAGATGGGCAAGTAGTAACTATAATAAAGCAAATAAGTATGTGCCAGAGGTGAGAGGAAAATTTGCTCTCACAATAGAAAGATATAATGTCAATGTCACAACAGACAGTTTTGGGAAATGTAGGAAAAAAAAGAAAGATTTAAAAAATGATTCCATATACTCACAAAAGAAAGGAAATCAAAGGAAGAAAAAAATCAAACTAAATACAATAATAAACCTTTGAAACGAACTACAAATCTGATATTGCTATGTATTTTAGAGAAGAAGAAAAAAAAGAAAACCACCGTGAACACACCGAGGCCGTGCCCTTCATATTGCCGTCGCTCCCGCTCCACGGTCTGTCTGATGGCTGTCTCTCGGGAGCAGTGCCGCCTTCCCTGCCTGTCTTTGATGCTGTTATGTAATTCAATCTGCTCCAGCTCACTGCTGAATCGATTTAAATACCTGAAAAATAAGAAAATGATATGAGTTACACAGTCTGTATATTTGCTTATGTTATACCATTTAAAACATAATCCCCACAGCCCTGGCCGAGTAGCTCAGTCGGTAAGAGTTTTGTTCCCATTAGCCAAGGCTGTGGGGTCAATCCCGTACAGGGGTTAACCAAATAAGTGGAACAACAAATCGATGTTTCTCTCCCCCTCCCACCTTTTCTCTCTCTCTAAAATCAATTAAAAATTTTTTTTAATTAAAAAATAAAACATAATCCCTGGCCTTCGCCTGTCCTTTAAATTTTTATATTCCCTCAGACTTCCCCCAGATAACTCAACCATTCTGCCTGCTATTAAAGTATCTATTAAACCCCAGATGCTCATATTCAACCACCTCCTGAATGTCTCATTTGGAAGTCCTGTACAGGCTTAAAGCATCAAAACTGAACTTGTCCTCACCCCTGTCCCAACCCATCCCCACCAAGCCTGCTCCACCTCTCAGGCTCCTTATCTCAAAAAACTGTATGACCATTCATCCAACTGCCCAAACAAGGAATTCAGTGTCCTCTCTCACTCTTCCCCCTCCCTTTTATGTCACATCTAAGCTTTTCCTAAAGGCTGAAATTTCTACCTTCTTCATATCTCTGGAATCCTTCATGTCTCTTCACCACACTGCTACTAACCACTCAGAGGCTACCACCACTGTTGCCTGGAGTGTTTCATCAGCCTCTCAACTGTCTCCTGGCCAAAGCCATGTCCCCTCAGACCATTAACCTCATCCTCATTACTTTGAACTTCCTAAAGTTGAAATATGATCATCTCACGTGCTTGTTGTAAAAGCCTCCCATGGCTCTGAATGTCCTTTGATAAAGTCTAAACTCTTACAATGATATCTGAGGTCTTTCATGAGTTGATTGTCACTTATCATACCTGTCACAATCCCCTCCTCGATTCTGTTATTCCAGTCATATTAGATGTCTGGTAGATCATTATATATGGCACTCTCACCTCTGGGCCTTTTAGACACTAGTCCCTGCCTAGAAGTTCTTTGAATTACCTTCCCTCAATTTGCTGACCCCTACCCTTCAGCTGTCACTTCAGATGATATATCCCCAGGAAGCCATTACTGATCCCAAGAAACTGGATGAACTACCACTATGAGGTACTGAAAGGTTACAATCTGCTAAAGTGAAGAGCCTAGGATATAAACCCAAAGTCTTTTTTATTACAAAGCCCATTTGCTCTACTGTAAATCTAGAACAGAACTGTCTCTTGAAGAACCAGACTGAAAAACTCCTTTTTCTGACCCTTTGCTCATTACATGCCCAGTGTTTACCTTTCAATTAATTCACAAGCATCTTTCTTTGAATATCCTACTTTTCGAGGATCAAGATGATTTTGAAACCACTGCAGTTTTTCACCTATAACAAGTACCAAGATAAACACCACAGTCATCATTTAAGCAAAGAGATATTCATTTTAACCTTCAACATCAATGTGTTATTAACAGTATCAAAACTTACTTCCATGCTAAATATAAAGTCTTGTGTGGGCTCAAAGCTAATTAAACCAGTCTATAAGAAATTAAATTGTCACATTTTAATTTGGGAAGAGACAGGAGTGAGAGGGATGCTTTTCTGTATATATTTCTTATCCAGTAAGGATGCAAAAAATTTTTAAAAAGACTACTTTAACAGAACATGAAGTTCTTAGTATTTAAAATGCAAAGGATAGAACTTTTCTAAAATAATAAAATGAAAACATTAATGAAGAAAATGTTATCTACTGAACATTTTATAAGCAGCAAGCACTAAGTCAAGAGCATCATAATACTATAATTAGTACTATTATTCCCGCTTACAAATGAGAACAGTTAATAACTTGTTCAGTGTCTCAAAGTTAGTAAATATATTAAGCCTCATTCTTATGAGTAAATCAGACCATCAGGATCACTTGCAGTGAGATTTAGATTCTCAAAATTAGAGATGAAGAAATGGCGCTACCCCAGATACTGATAAACCACTTAGAAATACTAATTACTCCATTACCTAATGAAGTGTTAGGTAAGGATTCAAATACCTTTAATTTTAGTAATAAAGCCTAACAGTCACTATTTTGAAATCTCAGGCTTCTCAGTAAAAATTTACTAACAATAAATTTGATGCCCTCCACCCAAAAAAAGAGATTGTGACACTGAGATATAGACTGGGTATTTTGGAAACATTACATATGAACTGCTGTTTCCAAAATACTTAGGCCATTATTCTAATGGTTAGGGAGCTAGAATTAAACTTCAGCTATTGAAAGATAGACAGAGAGACAAACAGAGGCAGAGAGGCAGATAGGCAGATAGGTAGTTAGGTAGGTGGTTACAAATCAATTCCTGAANGAGACAAACAGAGGCAGAGAGGCAGAGAGGCAGATAGGCAGATAGGTAGTTAGGTAGGTGGTTACAAATCAATTCCTGAAAAACTGAGCTAGGTATCATTAACACTGTTCTAAGGGTTCAATGATTGATTTTATTTTGTTTTGTTTCAGTCAAGTCTGGAAAAGAAAATTCACTTAGATAAAAATAGTATTTCACTAGGAAAGTCAAAAGAAAAATAGGTATAGGACAGAACTTCACTATACTACACTAGCCAAAATGTCAAATAAGTAAATCCACTTACCAATAAGATTGAGACGCAAGGCCTTTTCATTCTTCAACCTTGGGAGAAAAGGTGCATAAATGTGTTAGAGAATTTCCAAAGCACGTTTTTAAAATCTGTCGAAACAACAAAAAGAAAAACTGCCTAAAGAACTTTAATTCAAAGATCATTCTTTCATATACATGAAATTAATTTTGTTAATATAGAAGCACTGAACATCATGCTTCTTTTAATTTTTATTTATTTATTTTAATATATCTTTATTGATTTCAGAGAGAGGAAAGGAGAGGGAGAGAGAGATATAGAAACATCAATGATGAGAGAGTCATTGATCGAGCCCATATCCCAGGCGTGTGCCCTGACCGGGAATCGAACCCTGATCGTCTGGATCCTGGGTAGGCGCTCAACCGCTGAGCCACGCCCAGCTGGGTCATGCTTCTTTTTAAATCACTGGAACAGCCCGGCTGGGCGTGGCTCAGCGGTTGAGTGTTGACCTAAGATCCAGGCGATCGGGGTTGGATTCCCGGTCAGGGCACATGCCCGGGTTGTGGGCTCGATCAATGACTCTCTCATCATTGATGTTTCTGTCTCTCTGTCTCTCCCTCTCCTTTCCTTTCTCTGAAATCAATAAAGATATATTTAAAAATCAATCAATCAATCACTGGAACAACATGTTATTAGAACATTTTTCTTAGCTCTTCAATGAATAAAGGATACCTATAGAACAATCAGTTTTGAAAACACAGATGAGAGCTTGATTGGATGATGAATGTTGAGGCGGGTTTTGTAATATGCAGAATACTGTACACAAAAGAATAATGATGTAATTAATAGCTTCCAGAAGACTGAGTGCTGCCACCTAGACCAAAATGCATTACTGTCCGTTTTAAACATCAACAAGAACAAAACAATGTTTACCTTTCATAAATTTGGAAAAAATATATAACAAAGAAAAATAACATTTATTCTCAGAAAACAGTCTAGGCAATATGTACTTCCTTTTGTTGATATTCTAAATACTAATTCATTCAGAAGAGATCTTTGGATAGCTAGTGTTTGCTACACTATATGCCACCCACTAAGAATATACTGTCTCTGCCCTAACAAAGCTGACTAGATTTACTTTCTACTTTAAACAACTGGAAAACTGGAGAATAAAATGAAGCTTCTTATACAAAAAAATTTTAGCTACAGAATGGGAGAAAATATTCACAACACAAATAATAATAAAAAAAAGACTTGCATTCAGAATATACAAACCGTTCTTCCTACTTAATGAGAGACAACCCAATACTAAAAAAGCACAAAAGATTTTAACAGATTTTTTCATCAAATCAGAGGCATACAAATGACCAAAAAACACATAAAAAGATACTTAACATTGTTAGCCATCAAGATTACTAGGTGTGCAAATTAAAACCACACTGAAATACTACTTACACTGGATAAATTAAAAAACAAACACACAACTGATAATACAATCAATGTGTCTGAGAAGATATGGAGCAAATGTAACACATACACTGGTGGTTAAAATCTAAAATGGTACGATCATTTTGGCTAAGGCAATTTCTTACATACTTAAACATTACACCTATCATGTGACCAACAATTCTTATAAACTTAATTTCTTATCAACTCAATTTCTTATATTCTTAAGTATACATCTTCCATATGACTCAGTAATTCCAATTCTAGGAACTAAAATAAAAATAAAAATGTATGTCCACACAAATATTGTACATGCATGCTGATGGTAATTTTACTTATAATAGTAGGGGCTGGCAATTTTTTTCTTAAATGGCCAGAGAGTAAGATATTAGGCTCTGTGGACCATGTGGTCAGTCTCTGTGGCAACTACTCGCCTCTGCCATTGTAGCCTGAAAGCGGCTACAGACAAGGCAAAAGAGATGAGCACAGCTACGTTCCACCAAAACTTTTTTTATAAAAACCTCAGTTGCAGACCATGATTATAGCCAAAAACTCTAAACAATCTGAATGACCATCAACTGGTGAATGGATAAACAAACTGCATATCCATACAATAGGATACTATTCAGTAATAAAAGAGACCGACAACTGATCCGTGAAGTAACATGGATAAATTCCACAAACATTATGCAAAGTGAAAAAAGCTGGCACAAAATATTACATACAATGTGATTTCACTTATATGAAACATTAGGAAAGACAAATCTCATCTATCAAAATAAAGAGCAAATAGCGGCCGCCTGAGGCTGGGGTGAGAATGGAGCACCGGCCGGGGAGGTACACAGGGAAACTTTCGGGGACGATGGAGATACAGCAGGTGCTGATTGCAGGGTTACACCAGCTTATTACCAAAACCCCAGATCGGGACCCTAAAACACATCTATTTAGTGTATGTTATTTATACCTCAAAGCTGATTTTTAAAAAGTAAAGAATACTTCATAACAAGACAGAGAATGGCTTTCAGAAAAATTCATCCCTTTCAAATAAGTCTGGAGGGAAGAAGTTGGTTAGAAGTCAAGTTGAATGAACTCTTTGAGGGCCTGAACTAGAGCGGTATGAAATGGGATGAAGAAAAGTAGATATATGAGATTAATTCTCAAAAGCGGTTTCCTAGATTCTTACCCATTATGTTTAGTTTCCCTCTGTTAATTTTCCATACTAAGTCATTTTCATTCGGTATCTACAATTCCTTACTACATAACCCTGCAAACAAGACACGATAGTACATAGCAACAAAATGTTGCTATGCTGAGAAATCCTAAAATAAAACTAAAATCATGACACAGAATAGCCATTTGCTGCTACTGTACATTGAGCATTGCTTCGTATGTGCTGGTCTTCAAACCATACTAGTTTCTTTTAATGCAAACAGAAGCAGTATGTGATATGGCTCTAAATCAGAGCATCCAAACGCTAGGGATGAAGAACACGTTTGAACTCTTACTGTTACATGTTGCTGCTCACTCCCGTGGCATCTGGTTTTCTATTCTCTACCACTGGTCAAAGGCACCGCACCCTAACAGATACCCCCATATCCCTGCCCCACCTCTTTTCTCCATATAAAGAAATCTTAGAAGTGGTACAAAGAATACTGGGTTCTGTGAAAAGGTATAGAGACTGGATACTTCCAAGCTGCCCGGCTACCTTCGTTCCTTAGAAAATCAAGTGTCTTTGGTAGACAGGTGGTAGCAAAAGGTGGTAATATCTTAAAATGGCCTCCACGGATTCTCGCCTCTTCATATTCATGTCCTCACTCTCCATCCCAGAGGCCTTTTTAGTTTTTCTTCACTGCACTCATCACAACCTATTTAAAATGTATGTGTCTGTTTTAGGTAAGCGCTATAAAAACTGAATTCTCATTCACTGCTTTGCCTTCCGTGCACAGCACATATTTAACATACTTATTACTCATTTTGTTAAATGTCACCCAAGGATATTTTTCCCATTGATTTTTGGAGACAGTAGAAGGGAAGGAGGGTGGAGGAGAGAGGAACATCGATGTGAGAGAGAGACATCAATTGGCTGGCCCCCCCCCCCGACCGGGGACCGGGGCCTTGGAGGGAACCGGCAACCCAGGTACCTGTCCTTGATGGGGACTCGAACCAGAGACCCTTTGGTGTTCAGGCCAACGCTCTAACAGACCCACACTGGCCNATCAATTGGCTGCCCCCCCCCGACCGGGGACCGGGGCCTTGGAGGGAACCGGCAACCCAGGTACCTGTCCTTGATGGGGACTCGAACCAGAGACCCTTTGGTGTTCAGGCCAACGCTCTAACAGACCCACACTGGCCAGAGCTAACATTTTTTAAAGGAAGAAAAATAATACTAATGAAGGAGAAATGTGTAAATGGGCTTTTCACCAACCCACAGCACAAATAATAAAAGACACTTACTTTTCCTTTTTCTCTTGTTTGTGGGCTTCCCTCGTAATCTGTGCTGCCTTCCTACTATATGGATGGATGACTTTTTTTTCCCGTCCTACATTTTTTCCCTTTAGTGCTTTAGGCTAAAATGTAGGAAAACATATGACACATATAAGTCAGATACGTACGCGATTTCTGTCAAAAAATTTTCTTCAGAAATAAACACTAAAAACAGCAACATAACAAATATTTTGAGCCAGAAGCACTACACCAGAAATTTGTGTAGCCAGAGCTGTTAAGTAATTCAGCCTTTTGTTTCCATGGTCACAACAGAAATGATATATTCAGAACTATTCTCCATGATATAACAAAAATAAAGGTACAGAAAGGGTCAATAAAGCCAGCTCTTCAACTGTTCCATCTTCAAAGTAGGTACAGAGAATGCAGACAGTGAGGGGACTCACACCTGGAATCCATTTGTGTTATAGTTAAGAAAGTTCGGGGGGCAGAAAGAACACGTCAGTGGGAGCTTGGCTGGAGAAACTGCACATGGAACAGAGTGGGCAGTGAATCAAACAAAACCAAAGTTGGGCTCACAGGAAAACGGGAACAGAGGAAATAATAGAAGCCATCTCAAAATCACCACTCCCCAAAGGAAACAAGTTGTTTTCCCATTCAAGCCTTATGCCAGGTAACTAGGTCGCAATTCATTCAGTTCTCTAAACTAGACATTTCAGCAAGTCTTTATTCCTACATAACTCTGTATCTTATCATACCTGTTATTATTTAGAAATCAGGCTTGACTTCCTATAATAGAAACCCCAAATAATAATGGCTTAACCCAGATAAAACACAGTTCTCTCCTATAAAAAGAAGGAGCTGGAGGCTCTGCTCCAAAAAGCCCTCAGAGATCCAGGCCCCTTCCATCCTGCTACCTACTATCCTGAGGCTATAACCTCCTGTATATACACATAGTCCAAGGTGGCTTAATACCAAGTCTAAACTTTAGCCAGTGCCAAGTAGAAAAGAAAATCAAAAGGAGTCATACCCCTTTCCTTTGAGAGCAAGACCTGGGAAGTTGCAGAGTCTTTTGCTTGCATGCCACTGACTAAAACTTAATCAGAGTTATATGAGGATAGTAGTAAACATAATCTTTATTCTCAGAAAAAATAAAGTACTATAGAAGAAAAAGAAAATTTACTAGGGGACAGCTAACAGTCTCTAATATACTAATATTCAAAAGGTCAATTGTTTCTAGAATCTTCTCTGCAAAATATTATCATTGCCTTAATTCAGCTTCATGATCTTTCATGACTAGGCCGGCCTTTTAGGTTCTCACTGTTAGTCCTTTTATCATGGAGGTCACAGAGCTTATTTTTCTAGAACAGTAACTCACTCTACTAGCTCACAGTTAGGTTCTAAGTCCTTAACATAGAAAACAATCTACCCCAACCTACTTCTCCAGCATTACCTCTCTTCCTTCAAAATATCCACCATCCCATTCTTATTGAACTTCTCACCATTTCCAGAACACACCTTTCTGTTTCCTAACTTCTTGAGACTGCTTGTCACCTCTGCCTGCAAAATCCTTTATGTCGCTTGTCCTTCGATAAGAGGTAGCTCATAGTCACTTCCCTTGTAAAACTCTCCAGGCAAAGTTAATTAAAAGGAACACCAATTCCTCATTCACACATGTATTCATTCCTTCAACGAATATTTACTAAAATATTCGACAAAGATTTTGTTTGCTTCCTGAGAAACCTGACCAGAAAAGATAGCTCCAAGTCTGCAACCTGGAATGGCACTGGAAGTCGGTTACAGGTAGAAGGGAATAAAGAGTAAAGCCATCATGAAACAGTATGTGCATTCCTGTGTGCCTCTCTGCTCATGTGGAGGGGAGGGGCAGGGAAGAGGAAGGTGTGATAAGAATTTTTTGTGCGTTTACCTAGCAAACATGAATCGAGTAAAAACTTTCAGAACTCACAGGAGGCTGCCTCTAAGATGTCTCCCAATGAATCCCACATCCTGACATTCATGCTCTTGTCTAACCCCCTCCCCTTGAGTGTAGACCCAGTGCAGCACTTTTAATAAACAGCATTTGGGAAAATCGATGAGATTTCAACCCTAAGGTTAGGTTTTGAAAAGACTCTGGCTTCTGTCTTGCCTATTCTCTTGACTCAATCTGGTGGAAACCGGCTATCACGTAGTGAGTAGCTGCCCTATGGAGAGGCCTATGTGACAACTACCTGGAGGCTTCCAGCCAATAGTTAGTGAAGAACTGAGGCCCTCAGTCCAATAGTCCAAGAGGTACTGAATGTACCAAGAACCATGTGAGTGAGCAGGGAAGTGGGTCCTCCCCAGTTGTGCCTGGGGGTAAAACCAAAGCCTCAGATTATACCTTGATTGCAATCTCGTAAGAAACCTAGAGGCAAAAGCCTGGTAAACCATGCCTGATCCATGACCCACAGAAACTGTAAGATAGTAAGTGCTATTGTTTTAAGCCATTAAATTTTGGGATAGCTTGTTACATGTACACAGAAAGAAATAAACTAATTAAAGACTGCAAAAAACAACAACAAAAGAACAACAAAAAAGCAAAGNCAAGCCATTAAATTTTGGGATAGCTTGTTACATGTACACAGAAAGAAATTAATTAAAGACTGCAAAAAACAACAACAAAAGAACAACAAAAAAGCAAAGGTGTGCTCTTTAAAAAGATATTTTTGTTTCATATCTTAACAAATAAAAGTCACAAAAACTCAAGAAAAAAAAATGGTCTCTGAAGCTGCTATAACTAAAGTTAGAGATATGTAACTTTGTTTCAGCAATATGTTCAAGTCCATAAAAAATTTCCTTTAAAGATTTAAAAACTTCCTTTAGAATAAGAAATACTTTGATACACATAGAGTATGAAAAGATCCTCATAGCTTTAGGAGATCTTGGTTAAAGAACCTCGGACACTCAGTACAAAGAAGGTACAAAGAAACTGAACTTGTATTCTGACTCAACTGTAGTTTATGATTCCTTATAATAACTTATTCATAAAAAGGTTGCCTCAAGGCAGGGTATGTATACTTAATAAGGCACAGAAATGTTTACAATAAAATACTGAATTTCAAAACATTTTCCTATTTTTCAATGTCACAATAAAAAACAAAAAAACAAACCACCAATAAAATGCTTCAACAGGGGAAAACTGAAGTTAAATCCTGTCAATAAAATGTCCTCAGAGCCTATTCAAACTAAATATCTCCTAACTAGAAAGAAATTAATCTCGATTAGTCAGGGGTTCTCCAAATTAATTTTGTAGAGCATGATGACTCATGACTAGTACAGAACATAAACATATAACAAAATTGGGGGAGGTAGTTTACAGTGCATTTTCTATGGAAGATTAACCTTTTATGTTTTAAAAAGTACCAAATTTAACTTTCAAAGATATAGCAAAAATACAATTGTTTTGAATAACTGTGACTTTGAAAACTTTCTGGCACAGAAATATTCCAGTCAGAAAACCTGTATTGAAAGCGTCTCTTTCCTACAAACTTTAGTGATTACTTCAGAAAATTCATTCTAACCTATTCTTTGAATTCAGAATTGAGAGTTACAGAAGAAACATAGTTTACTCAAAAAGCATAGCAATACAGAGAGGGATTTCAGGGGTAATATGCTTAAAATATTCCTAAAACAAAAAATAACAAAAAGAAACGGGGGTAGAATGGTGTTTATCAGGGGTGAGTGGTGAGGGAAGTGAATGAAGGTGGTCAATGGTTACAAACTTCCAGTTACAAGATGAGTAAGTTCTGGGGATTTAAGGTACAGTATGGTGACTATAGTGAAAAATAATATTGCACTGTATACTTGAAAGTTACTAAGACAGTAAATCTTAAAAGTTCTCACAACAGGAAAAAAAAGTAACATGCAAAGTAGGGGATTGTTAACTAAATTTATTGTGGCAATAATTTCACTATATATGTATGATAAATCATCACATTGTATATATTAAACTTACACAATGTTATATGTCTATTATATCTCAATACAGCCAAAAAAACAAAACAAAACAAAACAAAAAAACACAAGATGCTTAAGCTGATTTGTAGGTATAGCTCACATTTACAGGTGTGAACCCAAAAGTACACAATTCTTGTCATTAAGGACTATGTAGGTAGTCAATTATAGTTAATGCTCACGGGAATCAAGGGAGGACAATGGCATACTTTTTAATGGCTTATAATCTAGTTAAGTGGGTAAGCACATTTAAACTCTATAATAATGGGCTCACACAAAAAAGGAGTATACCTGCGAGTGCCTAGTAGCCTAGCACACACCAAATTTAAAAGTACTAACTCCCTTTTTTTAATGCAGAATAAAAAGTGTTGGGTGGGATGAATTAATTTGAAAAGGTTCTTCATGTTAGTTAAATTTTGATATAAGAAAAAGATAAGAACTTGTGAAGCTCTTGAAAAGATTCATAATAAATGAACAAAAAACAAAAGTGGACAACTACAAGCTGTACTGAAACTGTTGACTACTATTACTAAAGTTAATTACAACAACTAACATGTACTAAATACCAGGCATCAGGAAAATTGGTTTACATTTAATTTTCACAAGAATTCTCTGAGGTAGACACTATGGTTACCCCAATTTAATAGGTAGGGCAACTAAGAGGGGCTAAGTAATTTCACCAAGATCATAATTCAGTAGATACAGGTGCCAAACTCAGTGTTCTGGGATGCCACAGCCCACATTCTAAGTTGTACTGAAAGAAGTTTAGAGTAACTGATGGAAAAATCTAGATGGAAAACTCCCAGTTCCAAACTGAGCTTAAATGCAAGAGTGGATGTAGCAGAGCCACAGGAGATATACCAGAAAAAGGAAAGCACAGGAAATGTGTCGACAAGAACAGATTCATATGCCACTCTTTTGACTCTTATAACAAGGCAATATACTCCTACTACCCAGCCCGACAAGAGTGAAGTCCTGATAGTCAAGGGCTGCAGTCCAACGCCAGGCAGCCCGAATCACTCACATACAATCACATTACTGTTTCGGAGGTTCCCCTCCGAAAAGGAAAGGCTATAAAAGAATATTAGGGTTAGAAATAGCACAAGTATAGTGATAAAAACGGAATTTACACAAACGTGTATATAACCTAAAGCAAAAAGCCTGTAGATACATATGAAAGACAAAAACAGCCACACAACAAAGGATGAACAAGGAAAAAGATGTTGTAGCCAAAGTATCCTAACTTTTTACAATGTTGTTTTTATTAAAAACTAGTTGAAAAATTAGTATTTATAAAACACGTTCCTTTTCAAGAATTAGTTTCCAGAATATAATTTTAAGTGAAAAATGCAAGAAAAAAAAAATAGCTTCGTAATGCTCACATAAGTGGTAGTAGTTTCGTAATGCCAGCCACAAGGAAAAGCAAGGGAACTATAAATATTCAGTTTGGATACTTTTTACCTCCGAGGGGTTCCTGACGGTTACAAGTTCGAGAAGGGCAACACAGAGGCTTTCAAAAGCTACGTTGTTTTATTTCTTTAACTGGAAAATGGATAAACAAGAGTTCCTTATCCTTCTAATCTTTATACTTAAGTGTGTTACAAAAGGACTCTTTCACATCTCCGTTTTTTATAAAAACAACAAATTTCAGTGCCTTAGCGGGAAGGGGGCGGGGCGTGAAGGCAGGACTTGGGGCGGGACCAGAGGTCGGTGAATGGACACCGAGGAAGAGACCGCAGAGCCCACGCAGTCCACACCGGCAAAAGGGGGGCACCGGGGAACGGAAGCAGCGTTTTTACGAGTTTCACTGAATAGCGAGAAAACACACAGGTGCGATTTTCCCCGACAGGGCACTGACCGGGAAGAAGTTCAGCAAGCGGGAGACGAGAAGTGGCGAGGCGCCCTGCAAGCCCCTCAGAACTCAGAAGCAGAGCCTGAAGGTCCCGGCGCCGGGCCCGGGCCTCCCGCCGGCCGCCTCGCCCTGCACCCCCACCCCCTGCGCACCGCCCAGTACAATCACTCTGCGTCCTCCTCTCTCCCAGCTTCCCAAGACCGCCCTCTTCCTCCACCTCGGGGGCCTTCTCCAGACCAAACGGGCTCAGAGCAGCGGGAGGGGGCCCACCATGGTGACGTCCTCGCGGCCCCGGGGCCCTCTGCACTCCGCGCCCGGGCAGCCTCTGCGACAGCGGGGCCAGCAGCTCACACAGCCGATGCCGGCAGAATGCACGTGGGGCGGAGGAAGCCGGGGCGGACCCGACCGGAAGGGGAGGGACGAGTACGTTGCTCTAAAACGTCCGGGGGAACCGAGACCTGGTCTTTTTCGCCCGTGTTGGACTTTGAAGCCCTGTCCCAGCGGGCAGCACCCTGTGTGCTCGCGGAGCGCGGTGGGAGGGAGCCCGGGGCAGCGGGGAGCCCGGGGCAGGGGGGAGCCCGGGGCAAGGGGGAGA